AAGGTTATTAGAATAAAAAGCTTCCCATATGGATTTGTGTTGTAGTGAAGAAATGTATGTGATCGACAGTTTTGTCATTGGCAGAAACACAGTCATTAAGTGGATAAAAGTGACAGAGAGTGAAAAACTGCCTGTCTCTGGCAACTCTCTTTGTTCATCATAAACAAAAGCAAGAAATCTCCAATTACCTTTTACATAGCAGAGGGAAAGTATAAAAAGTATAAAAACCCTGAACTGACCAGACTAGGGACATCCCTACTTCATGCCAGGTAAGAAAGCAACCTATGACTATGAAATGAGGGACCTCCAAAAGAACAACCCTTCTTCTCCTATGGAGACAAGCAGTTTTGTAGGAACATCCTGGAGTAAAATCTAGTACAAACAGCAGGAAAAGATGCTGCCGTGAAGATTAATCGTGATTTTCCAAATACAACTCAGAGAAGGTAGCATTTTGGAGGACACAAACTCAGAGACAGCTAAGACTCCAGGCAACTTCTGCTTAAATGAAAGGTCAGTATTTTGTGCATCTTGTGTCTCTGCCACTTGCTCATGAAGCACCTCTCACCAGAACACAGCTGAGGGTAAACATGGTTTACCCACTCTAAATCTAAGCACTGACACAGCTACCCATTCACCACCACCCAGTCTGGATCACTAGACAGGTTTATCTGAGGCTTAGCCAGAGATAATTCTGCAAGTGTCACAGTAAGAACAGAGCAGTTCAACATCACAACAGTGGGTTCCAATTGATCCTCCAACCTCCAGCTTCTACCCAGCATTAGGCCCACAACTAGGAAGGACACTAACAAATTGAAAAGGCAAAAAACCAATACTATGGATTAGAACGGATGAAGGAAACGCTGCTTACCCTGAAGAAAGAAGATGAGAAAATAGACAAAGTACAGAGATGAGTCCTGGAGAAGGTGACCTGAATTACAGCAGTTCATGGGGCGGTACCCTGGGAGGGTCACCCTCCAAGTACATAATTAGTGCCAGGCCTGAGAAAAAAAACACTGTTACTAAGTTAATGTAGCCAAGGGGAGAGGGGGGAGCTTGGGAATTGGGTGGACAGAGCACAGAGGGTACATTTTCTTTCGTAATATAGGAGGAGCAATGATGGAAGAAGCAGACTTTCCTCACCCACAGCAAAGTCCTGGTGAAAATCAAGAGAAGCCACTGTAGAGATCAACTCAGAAGATCACTGCTGCTTTGGTAGTGTGGTAAGGCCTGAATAGTGCAGACAGCTTTCAAGGAAAATATTTTTCTTTAAAAGGTGAAGAACAAAAACTTGCCACCCCCCTCCCTTCTTTCCCTTTTCCCCCTCCACCCAAATAAAGTGTAAACATTCAACCCCAACACTGAATTCTGGCTACCTTTTATGTGGCTGAATGTACCAAATTTTTGCTAATCTACATATCAGAATATTATTCTCGTTATGTCTGTAAAAATATAGAAACAAAATTCAGAATTAAAATAGATGAAAGATGAGCAATAAAGGGAATAAGATCTAAATTGTTAAGATTTACTCTAAAAAAATACTATTTTATTCTAAAACTACATATACAACAATGTATTTGTAAACTTAGTTCTTCACTCTTAAGGCTATGTTATACTGAAGAGCTTGAGTTAGGCTGTGCTGTCACATCAAAGTACACCTGGAAGGAAGCAGCAGATGCAGGATGGGGGGAGAAAGAAGTATGTAGTCTGGAGAGTTGATAAACTATCTCCACTGAAGAGGAAAGAAAGACAAGTTAGATGAAGGGGAAGGAATGAGGGAAACATTAAAACACATCAACTGTGAAGAAAAGACTGAGAACAGACTTTGCTTGAAAACAAGAACACTAACAGCTACCCTTACCACATCACAATTAATGAAGACTTTCATAATTGCCTTAGTAATCCAAATGAGTATATCCCCACACAATATATATACACACATATACATTTGAACAAAATATGACAAATTATAAATCATGCTAATATATCCAAATTCCTTTAAGCAGAAGTTATAATATTTGGATTAAGAATACAAATTTGAGGTCAACAAGCCTTTGAAAAGACATGCTCAGTAAAGTTGAATGTTTATGAGGACACAGAAATCCCAGAGGAGAACTAGTCATATACAGTTTATTACAGTTTTATAGTTCAAATGTAACTATGTTTAAAAAAAAAACAAACCAGAAATCACACACTCACTGTGCCTTGCTATTCTTGAAAATTTTGCAGCCTGTTATTCCTAACAAGTAACTTGTAGCACCTGCACCTACAGAGCAACTTGCACCCAAAACTGTGCTTAAATTATCAAACACCTTTCAACACAAGTAGACAAGCATTATTTTTTTGTCTAAATCTGCAAAGGCCACAATCCTTTTCTACTTCCTTGCTCTTCCTTGAATGAAGCAGAAGTCCCCCAAAGTAATGCACTGCTTATCTACAGAGTTCCTCAACCTAAGGTAAACTGTTGAAATGGGAACCTACCATGAAGCTAAAAAAAAACAGAATCAAGTAAGAAAACACATTCAATCCACAGAAAACAAAACACAGTATCAACCTACAACTTATCCTTTAAGATCAAATAATTATGACAATCAGCTCAAGCAACAAAGAGTATTACCAACACGACGCAGTCTGATAAACTAAAATTACAGAAAAACTCACTAAAAGATTTGACTAGTATCTTCCTTCAACAAAAAGCAAGGCATTCCAAACTAAAAAAGGGAGACACTTAAGCCTACATAAGAAGAAGCAATCAATATTTCCTTTCAATCAGGAAATATGTTTATAGACATGTTTATCAGGCATTCTGAACAGATCTTGTATCATTGCTTGCTCCACAGAGAACAATCCAATTACCCCTTGCAGAAAGCAGAAATATGGGACAAGTATGTGTGAACACTTGAGCAAAGAGCTCTGAAATTAAGCTTGCCTCTTCATGAAAGATCACCAAAGCATACCAGGGGGGAAAAAAAAATCTCAGGGGCATAGTTTTTCTTCTGTGATCTTTCTTCAGTGGAATCCCTCCTACATGAAATTGGGAAGAAACTCTACCCTACTGAAAAGAAAAAGCAGTACCAAAGCCAAAATGTATTGCACTGGGAAGAAAATCAGCATCTAGCTAGAGCTAGCTCAGTATCTTAGACTTGCAAATTTGCGAGATAGACATACTTACATGCAAGGGGGTGACTGATACTTCTACTGTGCTTCACTCTCCCCTGGACCTTTCAGGGAAACTGCCAAAATACTCAATGTGTACAATACAGTAACTTAAGCACTCCTCCAAACTCTGAGAACTATTGGTGGTTTCGACTAGCCTCTTTCATGCCATATGCCATGTCTCTGCAACTAGCCCTACCACATTCCTTGGTTAGGCAGTCATCTCGTATCATGGATCCCTGTGAGCACCCTTTCTTTACTCTGCAACTCCCACTTCCTTCACTGCAGCTCTCTAAAGCAAAACCAGCCTACTCATCTGTACAACAGCCTCCATTTTTAATTATTGTGCTTTGGATTGTCATAAGCCATACGTATTAATCCTACCGCTTTATTCAAGACCGTTGAAGCATTCACCGTCACCTGCATGTTATTACTGCAACATGGCAGGGCTACCAGGTGATCAAAAATAATATTTATTTTAGGTTTTCTGTTTATTTTGCGTAGTCAACCAAAGCATTTTCTTATTAGATTGTTTTGCCATTAGTTAGTCTTCTGTACCAAAATTCTGCTCAGGATGTCAACTTCTGTGCCAAACAATGCTACTACTACAAATATTTAGAAGAGCATAGGAAAACCAAGACCCACTTTTTTCAAACAATGGCTGATAACTGAAGCCAGTCTCCACTCGCTCTCTGAGCCTCAATTATGATCAAGTAATTAGGAAGAAGCAGTTCTCCTAAAAGCTGCAGCTGTTTTGTCAACATAATCCCTTAATGGCAAACAAGCTTAGTAACTTATATTTCCAGTCTCCATGTGGCTTCAGAATGCACAGGACTGCAGCAACATTCCTAAGTACCTGTGTTTCAAATACCAAGAGTGACACATTTTGAAATTTAGTTCTCAATTTGTAAAAAGTGCTATAGAATATAGACAACAGAGAAACCCCAGGGAACAGAAAATTAACATCCTGCATGATGCAGAAAGGCAGCAAGGAGACTGCCTGCATCACAGAAAGTGCTGTGTATGTAGCCTTTGCAGCCAATAAATAAGAATAACCTAAGGCTACATGAACTTCAATCCCTCAAATCTCCAACATCAAAAAGTGCATAGCTTCTCATTTCATTTTATTACTCCATAAACAAGAGAAATGTTTACAACCAAGGTGTGTTACAAGTCAAATCAGAACATGAATATGGTTTCGCAGCTTTCATCCTGAAGTATTCTACATTTTATTCCTTGACTACATTTTTGTGTACCAAATACATGTAGCTGTGATGTAAAGCCAGTCCTTTTCCCCTCTGCAGCCACAGGCTTGGCTTAGTACCTTTCCAGCCACATTGTAGACCTTATACAAGCTCTAAGCCCATCACATGTTCTCACTACTTCTCCCAGGTTAACTGAAGAGATTACCTTCTATTGGAGAAGAAGCAGTGGGAAAGGAAAGGCTTATTTAAATATGCACTGGCAAATGATACATGATACTTTGTGCAAGATACTGTTTTTCTATTTTAAAAAAGAAGAAGAGGTTGTGTGGTCGGGGAAAGGCAAAATTTGAACAAGCAATTATTTTTTCTAAATGAAAATATTAATACTGATTTTTTTTCAGGGATGCTCTTACTTCTTAAGAACAGAAATGGCAATAGGGAGGTAAAAACCATAAAATCATACAACTTCACTCACATACCTGACAGACTTTAGAAACTCTTTTATTATGTGATACAATATTCTAATTACATTAGTAGGTTGATTGTTCAAGCGAAAATAATTGTTTTTATCTTGAAGTTCTAAAAATTGAGTATGAAAAGCTGAACACAGTCAGCAGTTGATGTAAAAATTTAAATACTTACTGCGTAGGAGCCTATGAGGAATGCAGCGTTCGCTTGCTTTTTCTGATCAAAGCCAGTATAATGAATTATTTTCTTCCTTATCAATGAAAATGACTGTATCAAGAAATGAACAAGATTATGATTTTGCATTTTAGACTTTTTACATTCTCTTTTATAAAATCAGAGGAACTGAAGAGTTTGTTTACCTCCTTTCATCCAGCTGCAGAGTACCAAAAATGCTGTAGAGTAGTCCCTCAGAAACTTTGGAAAACTGTATTGCATCCCTACCTAGATTTTTCCAGTAGTTTGCTCAGTATCCAGCCTAAGTAATTTTTGATAAAAATTACAGAAATATTTTCTTTTTCTTCTTAAATGCATGTGTATTTTTAGTTAGCATTTTTGACTTCAAACCTTTTGTAACAGACAACCATTTATGAGAATATAAAGTGGCATTCTCAAAAGCATCACAGGTATATTAAAGTTGCAAAAATTCTACAGAGTTTACACCTTTTCATTCATTTTTCAAACTCAAATGCAGATAAACCCACTAGTATTTGTTTCTAAGGATTAGAATCATGCTTAGATTAAATTTGATTAATTTTGAAAGCATTTCTAAACTTTATTATAAATAATTTTTAAACAGTCACATTGGCTTGGCATACAGTTTCTCCATTTATCTTAGAAAGTGGGCGGAATGACATTTTCCATAGAAAGGACATATACATGTGTGGTGGCAGTTATCCCCTAACTGGCCCTTGAAATAAATTCTGATGTGCTTGAAACTACACACTTTGATCAACTGCTAAGCTATCATAAAATGTCATTTTCTGCATTTAAATAGCAACGTTACTTGTTCAAGATACCAGATCCAATGCATTCAAGACCAAAAAAAAACCCAGATGAGTAGCAGAAATATGTTCTCAGAAATCCTAACGTGTCAAACGCAACACAAGCAAAGGGGCTGCAACATAGCCTTATGTTGCTTCAGAGCATCCTGTATACAAAAATCAGAGAATCTCATCTCTGGCAAACCACAGTTACCTACATGGAAGTTTACCACCTCCCAGCCTGGACTACTAAACAGGTTTATCTCAGGCTTAGCCAGAGACACTTCTGCTTGTGCCCCAATAAGGACAGAGCAGCAACATCACACCTGTGGGTGCCAATTGCTTCCACAATCTAAAGAATAATAAAGCAAGTCTGAATTATGCAAACTATTATCTGTGACAGACATCAAGGAACGAAAAAAGATTACACTCTTATTCTATAATGTGCTACATATTTCCCACTTTTCACAGTTCAGTGGCAGTTTAAAGATCTAAGTAGTTTTGAAGAGGCAAACTGTGATTGACATTAACAAAAATAAGCTTTTTTATCTGCAAAACAGATTTTATACTCCAACATCTACTGAAGGTCAACTAACTTGTAGTCAGTTGTGTTGATTAATTTAAGAAATCCACTTTAAAGACACTATGCTCTATCAAGAGCCCAATCCCAAACATTACTGAGCTTAAGAGAAAATACTCTGCAGTGTGAGCAGAGCAGCCTCTGTCAGGCCAGTGCTATCAATGCTACTTAAGATCAAATGTTGTTCATTACTGAAGAATGCCAGCATAAGAAGAGAAGACCAAGTCAAACAAAGAACATTTCAAATAAAAACATAGCACTACACCCTCGAGCTCACTCAATATTGGCAGATTGCCAATAAGATAGAATTCCAAGAAATAAGCTTTTCCTATAAAAGAGACTGTATTCATTTAGCAACTGATTTTCTAGAAGCTTAATGATAGTTACTGCCACAGTTGTGCATCTTCTGATTCTTAAAAGTAAGTGGATTTTCCACCTTGATCCTCCTCCTCCCTAAATTCAGCTCACTGAAATACAGCATTCATATTCAGAATTCAGCTGGATTAGGAAAACAGGAAAGCACCTGAACAATAACAACAACAGTGAAACAAATTTTGACCCATTTGTTTTTCTTTTTTAAAAAGCCAGTAATATTGGCTTTTGAATAAAAAACCCCAAGCATTACCTTTAATTTCTTATTTAGCTTGCAGCAGTACCTGTAGACCATGGCAAGATTGAGCGGTCCGAAGTCTGCATAGAAGCTGTTAGAAGAAAGGGGGAAAATTGTACATGACCCCTGTAAATGCCTTTTTTTTTAACAAGATGCATAAAGCAAGGAATAATAATACGCATGTGATATATATGTACACCATTCTAAAAACAAGCATGCTTTCTTACATAAATACATACTGTTTTGTTGGAGGAATGTTTTGTTATCTTTAAACATGGACTAAATTTTTTTTTGTCTCCACACAGCACTATTCAAAACCAATACCCAGATTTTAAGAACTATTTTTCACTACTGTATCACTCTGTGACAAAAAAGTTTTAAACTCAATTTTAAAAGGAACTCATAAGCTTTACTTTAAAAGGAGGCAATTCATAGTGCTAGAGGAAAGGAAACACAGATAATAAAGATTGATTAGTGTGTTAAAAAACAGCAAGCATGCCCTTGATCAAAACCATCTGAAGAACTAGCAACATTCCACATAATGTAAAAGACAAACAATGGTCACTACAGGGGAAATAATATATCCATTGTCAGCTCATAAAGGCTTGAATTGACTCTGCCATTTTCTTCTATGATTCTAGGAAGTTCAGACATTCCACTTAATACATGAGAAACAAGGACACCCCTTTCAGTAAGGCAGTACAACGTGCACTTCTGAATTTATATGGCTGCATCATGTTTCTGTGTCTTCTAACAGCAATAGGTACAATGAAAGCTTCTGCTTTGAAAATGTTTTTAAGAAATCCTGATGGGAAAGCAAGAAACCCTTCAGAGGCCTATAAATCATCATGGCACGTAAATCTTAGAAGACAAAACTCATGTAACTAAATCTCCAATGAGACTGACTCCTCACTGTTGTTGTAATGACTAATTTATTTCTGTAAAAAAACAGGGAAAAAACCTAAGTTGGTACTTACTTCTCATACACAAGTTCATCATCTATGCAGAAATAATGGGTATTTGCAGCTCCACTCTTTGGCTTTTGGTACAGAATTGCAAAATAAAGGCGATCTGAAATGCAATAAAATTAGAAGCTTTTACAAACATCATCTTTTTTTGCTCAAATTTTGAAGTGCTACTTGTCAATGGGATAACTTTAAATGGTTTCAAATTAAGAAAATCTTTTAAGTTTTAAATTAGGTTTTATTATTTCTCCAGTGTTAAACAAACAAGGCACACAAAGATCGAGGCTTTTTGCTCAGCGGCATTCCCATAATCTGCAGCTCTTTGGTGTTCTTTCCCCAAGTGTTCCTTGTTTAATGACTTCACAAAATAGCAGGAGCCTGACTTTCACCCACACACACAGCAGACACCTCCTTTGGCAGGTTTCATTGCACTTCAAATACCAATGCACACACACCACCCCCAAACTAAACCACAAATCCCTCTGCACTTCTGAGCACCTACGTTAAAATAAATGATGAAGCACACTCACACCAAACACAGGCACTTCTTTCTGTTAAGTCATGATTTTGACAGTAGCACCATGCAATTAAAGCCTGCTGGTAACAGACTCGGGAGAGATTCAGCCAAGCAACCCATGCTGTCCATGGGAGCACCAGCCAAGCCTCCACCTGGACATCTCCAACTGACTTCCCATCCCCACCCCAGCTGCCCTGTCAAAGCCTGTGCGCCTGCAGGCAGGAGATGTATTTGCCCTGGCTTCCTTTGTTAAGCTTTGTTAAGCTGAGGGGAAAAAAAATCTATGTGGTATTCACATAGATATAAATTACTTTTATGGCCAGGGAAGCTGAAGCCCCAGTGAACTTTAAACACTGACTGTGCTCCTGCTATAAATTGCAGTGTTTGCGATAATTGGTCAATAAAAATTGAGGCTAGCAGCACCACTGCAATACTTGTCTTCCTCCTGCTGAGAAAATATTTGGATTAAAATTCAGACCTAAAAGGAAAGCTTTTTTTTTTTTGTTTTTGCAAATTAGTTCCCTAGAATAGATATTATTTAAGTATCAAAACAGATCACATGCATGTATTATTTCAAAACATGATCTGTGATGAGGAAAAACTGTATGTCAGTCTTCAGACAGAAGGAGGGAAAAAAAAACACTTTAAGTTTCAAAACAACATCATCCATGACCAACACTTAGAAATCATTACTTTTATCTTGAAAATAGATGTCCAAGTATGCCATGAAAGGAGTTACCATATCTATATTTTAACAGTCACATGCTCATTGCTCACCTACATACACTAGTATCTCAAGGGTGAAGGCAGACAAGTACACCAAAAAGTGCACATTTTCTTAATGTTTTTTTCAGTAGAACAGTAGCCTGATCTGAGTCGTTTGGCTTAAACATTTACAGGTCAGGAGCAACAGTGGGATTTATAGTACCTCCTAAGCAAGTCAGGCACTTACTTCCTTACTCTCTAGCAGAAGCAAGGCACCCAACTTGCTTATTTAATTTCTAATAGTCCCATCCTGTAAGCAGAACAGCTGCAAGTACTAGATGTGAAGCGCATTACCTGCTTCTGCACCTCCCAGCATTTACCAAAACATTCCCAAATCATAGAAGTCAAAGGATAAAATTTAGAGTAATGTGTGCATTTTTAAGAAGTGACTAAACTGGCCTACAAAGTGAATTATGTGTGGAGAAGCAAGTGCACCAATACTCTAGCTGAGTGCTAAATACGCTATGGGGAAAACTGCTTCAGAGAGAGGCAGTCCTGGGGGTTCCCCACCCCTGTGTTAATCACTGAGCTGTGTCAAGGTGGATTTGCATGAATTATAAACTGTAACAGGTATCCCTGGGCAATATCAAAAAAAAGAAAAGAAAAAAGAAGAAAAAAAAAGGAAAGAAGGAAAAAAAGGAAAATAAAAGAGAAAAAAAGAAAAAGAGAAAAAAAGAAGATACAGAAAAAACAGGAAAAAGAAAAAAAAGAAAAAGGAAAGAAAAAAAAATAAAAGTGGAAAAGAAGGTAAAAAGCTGCTTTGCTTACTTCCCTCTGCTCTGAGAATGAGAGCTAACGTGTGCAGGAGAACTGAGGGAAGGGGAGGGAAGAGAAAGGAGAAGTGAGAGGATGTGATATCTAGGGATTGTGTTTAAACTGGCATTGCTAGATTAAACACATGTCACTGCAGCCCCAAGCTATAATTTCACACCACTTCTAAACTGATTTAATGGCTAGCTGCCACCAGGTTCCTTAGAGGAAAAATCCTCTGAGTTAGCTCACTAAACCAGCCTGCTGGGGGTTAACAGCAGGAATATGCAGCCAAAATATGCCCTTCATGGCATCTGTCCTTAAGTGCCAGTCTAACTATTGACTAGGCAGACTGAGCTCTCGCTCTTTATTGTACAAAAACAACCACATCAAGGTCTGAGAAGAATGGCAGTAGTACTCAAACTGAGCACCTCGAGTACTCAAATGCTACCATTTTGCACTTCAGCTTCTTCACAGAAACTTTGCTTCACTTTTGAAAATATAAAAGTACTTTGCAAAGAGCAATCCAAAATCTTCAAATACAAAAGGAGAACAAAAATGAAAAGAAATATAATTTGCATAGGTCAAAGATCTAAAATAATTTAGCATTTTGCTCCAAAACAGGATTTGAAATTTTTGCATCTTCAGTGCTTGTACTGCTACTGAAATGCTTCTGCAGCTTGCAAAAATGTCCAGCAAAAGTAAGAACTCCTATCTTGAGTGAGCAGTGTGTATGTGGCCTTCTGAATTGCTGTTGGCAATGGTTCTGCTCTGGTATCTCTAAACTGTGTTCATTGTTGCCATTCTTAAAACACCTGAAAGAAACTTGAGTTTAATGAGTTTACAGAAGTACCTCACAATAAGAGCAGTGTGTGTCAAATGCCAATAACCTGACAAGCTGTCCATTCCTGTGCACTGCTAACAATTACTCCCTATTATGTAAACAGCAGGCTCCATCATCCTATGGGAGATTTTAGAATGAAGACATTTCCTGTAAGTGTATTTACCCTTTTACTGATTTACCAGTCCAGCATCTGACAAATGCTGGTATTACTCACCATGTCTGTTTTTACCTGTTTTTTTCAAACACATTCCAAGTTCTATTTAATCAAGAATTAGTGTGCTGGGTTTTTTTAATAAAAATTAAGAGAGAGTTCCTTCCTTAAGGATCTGGTTGCAGGATTGAGATTTTATACATAAAATACACTCAAGCATTGATGATTTCATTTCACTAGTATTCCATAAATGCTTAAGGTTTGGACTGCCAGGAGCAAGGCTTCTCTTTATTATCTTCATGTTTCCTTTGCTAATTTTAGCTTTTTAGTATTTCGTTTACATATAGTGCACTTGAGCACTTCCCAATTCCTGCAAATTTCTGATAAAAAATCATCCTAAAACTATCAAAGAAGAGCAGACCTTTCTAATCATCTCTCAGAGGAATGACAGAGTAGAGCTCACTGCCTTACAGGCTGCATCTGCTCTGCAATTAGGAGATATGGCTGCAACATGTTAGATATTCTTCAAATACACTTAATTTTGTCAGCCTTATATAACGAAACAGTTAAAATACATAAGCACGGACGTCACTGCAGGCAATTAATTTGAGTAAGCACCCAATGTACAACAAAATGAGCCTATATACTCCTAACTGAGGCATAGGTTACCAGAGCTGTGTTACTGCTCGTACCTCAGCTAGTGAGACTAAAGCTAGCATGAGCATGACTGTCCAAGCTGATTGCAGAGTGTTACAGAAGGGAAAGCACTCTGCTTATTTATAAAAGCCACAGTGTTCTGTGGAAATAGATGTGTAGAAAACAGAGAGGTACCATTTCAAAATCACATTAACGTGAATTTAGAGACAAAAAAATAATTTTCCTTTACTCTCAACAAGCCTGATGCTTCTCAGGTTCTGCTACACAGGCCTTCAATAAAGAAATTCCATTAATTCAAGAATTACAGTTGGACTTGTTGATCTTAGAGGCTTCTTCCAACCTAAGTGACTCTATGACTTTAAGTGACAACTAAATATCAAACAGGCATTAGTGGCAGGACAAGTTTGCATACTATCAGCAAACATTATTTAATACAAACAGAAATTCCACAGTTCTGTTGTTAAATAGATGCTTTAGATGAGAAACTCAGCAACTGACAGTATAACAAAACCCAGTGTTAGTCTACTTGAATGACCAGGAATGTAACCAAAGAGTTTTTACTATTTTAAGAGGAGTGCATTTCTAAATTCAGAGTTGGTATATGGAATTTCGTTGTGTTTGACTTAAAAAACTTCAAAATATTTAAAAGACATAAGAGAAAATGTAAAAGGCAAATCCTGAGAAAATGTAAAAGGCAAATCCTGTTGCAATGTCAAGGGAAAAAGCAAAATTGTTTAAGATTTTCTTTTTAGTCTCTCTAGCTTTGAAAAAATTTATTCAGTCATCATCCCTATGATACTTTAAATTTAGCTAATGATAGAGTTGGCAATTGGAACAACAGCCTGGACTCTGAAAAAGAAAATGAAAGAACATTAAAGAGATAAAGGAACTTTTTTTAAAACAAAATCTATGAAAGCATAATTTTCAGTGCTATGTCACAACGGATCCAACCCGGTTATCTCACACAGAGTACTTCCACTCTGCTGCTCTTGATCGATACAAGAGACTACATATGTTCATGTACTTTCAGTGCTGGATAAGACACTAAAAGCCTTAAACATGTATTTAAAATCTTGACTTTGGAAAAGGCTCACAAGTAAGCGGTGTCATATTGATAAAAGGATAAACAGTTTTTGTACTGAGATAGATGCATAATAAAAATGAACTGAAAGTGTTGACAGTAAAAATATTGTAAGCTTAATGATACTTAGAAGTGTCCTTAGCGTTCTAGAAAAATACATTTTCTATTGGGTACATAAAGTTTATAATGACAAGCCAGCACTCCTGGAAAAAGACAACTTAATGGTTCGAAAAAAACAACAAACCACAATGTAAAACGAAACAAAAACAACCCACATATCAAGGAATACATTAAAATTAATATTTAATTAACAACTCCAACTGACAGTGTAAGCAAAATTATTCTCAATGAAGGAAAAAAATAGATATATACACTGTAGCTTAAAGCATCATATAAGATGTTACATTCTGCAAACAAATTAGATGTACATTCAGCAGGAAGAACAATCAAATGTTAAGAAATTACCCATGACACTGTATCACTTAAATTTAATTCCATGTGTAGTTACTGTAGTTATTTAATTTTAGAATTAACTACTCAAAATAGATGAGAAACCCACACCTTCTGCCTGAGGTTAATGCATTATAATTCCACCTCTCCTTTAAAATGTTTTTTAAAAAATCAGAGCAATGAGAAAGAAAAGCAGCTGAGGAAAGGAAATGAACAGCTTTCAAGCGTCTTACAGAGCATTGCTACATTTTATTTAGATCATATAAATTACTTCTCTCAGAGATCAGAAGGATATGGGAATATGCTTCTAAAAAACAGAAGAAATGCATTCAGTTTCACCAAATTGAATTCATACCAGCAAGCCTCATGCACTAGTTGACAAAGAGGAAATGATGAAGCTTACCATGCAGCTTAACAGACCAAAATAAACAACTTTTTAAAAGGACAGCTTTCCTGAACTAGTCTTACTCGTTAACAAGAATATTTAGACAGTTCTAATTAACAGTTATTCTGACATATGGCTTATGCATGCAATTAATTACAAAATAAAGATTACTTTAAGTAATGATTACTGTAAGTATTTTAGATATAAAATTCCTAGAGTGGATTTGAAACTTTGGTGTTTATGAATGTAACATCACACAACAAAAGATCCATAAACCTTTAAAGCAATCTGGGTTTATATTCTGCTTCTGTCTTTTGCAAAGATGAAAACAAGGGTAGCCTGCAACGCTCTTAATAAGTTTGGCACTGTTTCTGTAAGTAAATAAGTGAACAGATCTCTCAGCCTTTACAGTGGTTCAAATATTTACCAGTATGTGCATTTTTAAGAATAAAACCTTATACTTTGTCTCCAGTCCACAACTATTAATTAACTTCTCGGAACTGCATTATGAGAAGGCCGAACCGACATTTCAAACCTTGGCATAACTTAAAAACTGCTGAACAAAAAGGTAAGCCTGTTAGCTTAGTCCTTTAAGATTTCTCTTTAAGAAAACAAGTATGACATAGCAGCAAACTAAACATTAGACTATAATTCGAATCAGAACTAAAAACTGGACAATAAACAGCAGCCACTGTGCACAGCAAGATAAAGACAAAATGAAGTGTTGTTAAATATAATAATTTAGTGCACTTTAATAAAATTTACTATGGTAGGTACTGCTGCACATGATTAAATCCCACTGAAAAAAAAAACACAGGTCAAAGCCTAGGTGTGCTACTGAATTTAAATGGGCGAACACTTCCTTGAAGGAAAAAATACAGTAATTTAATGGGGTTGTTGATGCCAGACACACATTACCAGATCCAAGCAACTGCTTCATGAGAATGGCTAGACAGATCTGTTTGCTGGAGATGTGAGCTGGACCAGGCTGCAAGGTAATCCAGGTAGTGACATAACTTTGATAGCAAAAAGTCATAATCTGTCACATTAGGGGTTTCCACAACTGACCTTGAAATCATACTACCATCATGTCCTATATAAATGGTTGCTGCTACAGAAACAATACACATGTGGAGTTACTGGAGACTAAGGGTTCTATAGATAAGTACATTATTATGTTTCTTTGTGTAGATCAGGCCTAAAATGCTGAATTTTTGGCTGGAATATTTAGGATTTTACTTCCTGACAGTACTAAAGCTTTTTAAAAAGAAGAATCTGGTAAGTTCTGGCAGTTTACATTCTTTCTACGTTGCTATGTCAAAATTTCAAAATAAAATCTTACATACCGTTATCTAGGAGACACACTAGTTAATATAAGGAACCATGCTTCTTGACACAGAAATAAAAGGGTGCCTTTTCTGGTGCATTTTCTGCATGTTTGCTTTTTATCTTTTTGCTTGCTCTGTCCACAGATATTTCCCGTGCCCTTCACAGAGATGTGCCGGGAGATTTGTTTCTTGCTTTTTATGAGAAGTTAATACACTAAAACTCTGAGATTATGACATATGACTTAAAAAGTAATTTCTGTTGTTGTTGTTGCCTTTAGGCAAACTAAACTTAAGGCCATCTTTTAGCTGGGGAACTCAAACCTAAACACAGAATTTTCTGGCTGTGATCCAACAAGCTTCTTAAAAGAGGCAGACTCGTGCCAAAACAAAGCACAGCTCAGAGCCTGGAGTCACGAAAAGGAGGGACGATACTGAGCAATCCTGCCTGCACAAGCTGTTGGCACTTGCGTGTCAAGAGGAGGTGCGATGTGTGCCCATTATTTTACCCTTTAGCCAGCAAGCAGAGTATTACGGCATCAGGAGAAACAAGTATCTACATCAATCTATACACATATATGCGTGTGCGTGCATGTGGCGTGTATATACATATTCCCCAGATACATGGAGAAGTACGCTACTTTTTTCCCACCCCACTACGTGTTGAACGGACAGAAACGTGTTTAACGTTGTTTTTCCGTTTCCTCTCTCTGGCAGGCAGAAAACGCCAGCACGGAGGCAATCGGTGCTGGCTACGGCTCGGGCTACCGGGACATGGGCAGGATGAGTTATCCCGCTCGACGAGCGGTGCAGTTCTCAACACACTTCGCTGAGTGACGCGCCAGAGCTCCGGGCTCGGGGACTGACCGGCCCCCCGCCCGGACAGCAGCGGCTGCCGAGCGCGCCCGGGTCCCGCCGGGAATCGCGCCGACGGGAAGTTTTCCTGCCCACCCGGAGCCGGCGCGGCGCCCACCGCCGGCGGGACGGGACGCGACGGGACACCGGGACACCCCCGCCCCCCGCACACCCCCCTCACCCGCGATCCTCAGGCAGGTCTCCAGCCCGACGGGAGGCGGCTGCCGCCGCCGCTCCGCCTCGCCCCCCGCCGCCCGCGACGCCGCGCCCCGCGTCCTCTTCAGCGCGGGCGGCGGCGGGGCTGCGCGGCGCCGCGCCTCGGCCCAGGTCTTTCGCTTCATGGCGCAGGCGGCCGCGGCGCTACGATCCCTTCATCCCGCGGGGACCGGGCGGCCGGAGGGAGGGGAGGGACCCCGCGGCGGCGAGGGCGGTGGCGGCGGCGGCTGACGCGTCCCCGCGGACACCGCCCCCTCCCGCCGCACCTTCGCCCCGCCGCCCGGCGGAGCGCCCGCCGCGCCCCCAACGGCCGCCCCTGATTGGGGCGCGCGGTGTGGCGTCACCGGTGCGGAGCGGCGGGGGGGTGACGTCACGGCGGCCGCGGTAACAGGTGGGCTGGGGCTCGCCCCCCCCCCCCTCGCGGCCGGGGTGCCGCCTGTCTCGGCTCGCGGCCGGCCCGCGCTGCTGACGTGGCGCCGGCTCCCCCCGGGATGGGCGAGCGGGGCCCGGGCCGCGGGGGCTCCGCTGCCCGCCGGGCAACCCGCGCCCGCCCTGCCTGCTCCTGGAGCCTCGCAGCCCCCCGGGGGACCCCCCCGACGTGTTCCAAGTGAGGGGCCCAAGGACTTGGTATTTGGTAAGGCAAACTGAAAACAGTCCGGTGCGTACAGGCTGCTGGTCTGAGCGTTAAATGGACTTATCTGAAAAGTTTAAGTAACTGGATTTGAATCTGCCTTTTAGATACGGCGGTATTTTAAAATACACGGTTATTTTAAATAGCCGTAGCACTAAACCAAGCTAGTAGGTAAAACAACTTCTGAAAACCACTCCCTTCCCACCTCCGTCTAATTGGCCATGATGAAAGCCCTTGAGGAAGCATTCTACCTTCTGCTGAGTGTGCATTTTTATGGAGGGAAAAGTACTAGTTGCCATTTTTTTACACTGCATTACTTTAAAAAAAAAAAAATCCTTTCTAAATCACTCTGGAGACCTAAAATTCTTCTGACACTTCAGAAACAAATTTTCCCGAGGATGAATGTGGCCAGCGTTGTTCCAAATCCTTATGAATGTGGGAGTCATTATGTTGCACGGATTAAGCAAACTCTCAGTCTGTGGCCAGATGCAAAAGGCAGGGCCGATGCCCTGATTAGGACACTTCAGCTCTTCTGCTGAGTCCTGTTCCTCCCTTGTTTTGTTTGTCTGCAGTTTGTGAGTCTTTCTGAAGAAGTGATTTTGCTGGGATAACACAGAGGTTGTGGTATGGTTCCTGTCAGTATTGAAATAGTGAGAGTGGATAACTTTAACCTAAAGAGCTATAAAACTGCAATTTAATTCCAATCTCTTGTAATAGTCTATAGTTCTTTTAGCCATAGTTAATTTTGTAAAATGTGCTTATTAGGACCAGCTTGAACATTTCCTTTAAAATCAAGAGCACCAAGAACGACTGCAAAATCAAAGAGGAACGAGAATCAGTGTCCTCACTGTGACTATCAGGTGAATGAAGCAGTGGAAGCACTGCTGTTTAAGTAACATAAGGCAGAGGGGCAGATGCATTCCAGAGTTCCTGGCATGCTGAAAAATATCGTTGAGCTGGGGGAGTGCTGGAGGGAGGAGGCAGCGCCTTATTTGAAACTGCAGGGGCAGTATTTCAAGAAAAGCAGACTTCACTCCCCTGTGAATCTGAGCTGCCTGTCCCAGTCTGTTACGCCAAGTTCGAGGAAGCCTCTGGCCAGCCCTGAAATCACAGGGGTTCAGAGTCTGCACGTGACTACCTTTAGCCCTGTGCCGAGTGCTGTTTAGTCAAAGCAGGGAACTGACACCAGTATTTTTCCATTAATAATATCCTTCTTCTAAACACGTAATGTCAAAATAGGGGAGTAATGAATAAGTTGCTAAGGCATAGTATCTTTAACCGAATTACATTGTTCAGTGTTATGATGTTTCTTAAGCAAGCCTTTTATTTTTCATCAAGGAACAATGCACTTAATTTCACATGTTAATGGTGTAAAGCTTTCCAGGCCTCGCTCTGGGCCTGCCAGTGGCCTTAATGGATGCAGCAACAAACATCTTCACAAAATGCCATTTCACAATTGAATTAAAGCTTAAAAAGAGAGAAAATCTGCAGTTGAGACATGTATATATGGTAGCATTTTACAGTGAAGGGCAAAGATCAGAGACTGCAGAGAAGGATACACTCCTCCATAAATCTTGGACAACCTTTATTTTTTTTCCAAATTGCTAAAATGAAGCATCTCCTGGATGAAAGAGGGCATGTCTACTTTAATGGAAGCAATAGATGTTGAACATAAACATGTGCAGATAAATGGATGATATGAAATATGCCAGAACTGCAAACCAGAACACTGTTATGCTTACTTCAGTTGTCTAAGGCAGAATTAATTTAATTAATTAAGAACAATTTATTCAGAGACCTCTTGCTCTGAGAGAAAAAACATACATACAGAAGAAGAACATTCTGCTGTAAATCTTCATTGGAATACAAATAATTTGGCGAACTCCAAAAAATGATAATCTGATCAGATACAAATTTAAGACACACCTCTCTCTGGGCTTACATACCCATGTTTTTGTATTACACAAAAGAATTGCAGGAAATACAGGATGATGTATTTAAAATATTTATTTGAAATTGTGAAATGTATTTCATAACTTCTGCCCGTTCCAGATGCAAAAGTAGGCATAAACTGAAGTCCACATGTTCAAAATTGTGACTTTTCAGGGTGTATTTCAATACAAAACTGTCATACAGTGCTGGAAGCTTTAAAACAGTGCTGAGAAGTCTTGGATTGAAAGCCAGTGTTCTGTGGTCTGCTGAAGGCTAGTTCTTCCTGAGCATAATCTGATTTCTTACTTTAGTGCACCTTGAACAATGATTTTTAAAATGTATTAGTAAGATTGTTTGATTTTCCAGGTTTTTTTGCAATCAGTCTCAGTTGTGTTTTAGTTTTTATTGTCTTATACTCAATGGATATAGCACTTTTGTATCCATCTCTAATGCCAGGTAGTTTATTCTATGCTCCAATTTTCTATGTAAGGTTTCAGATGTCCCACAAAGACACAACAGAACCAATGCTTGTTGGAGTGCACTGGAGAACTGTTCTTGTAGAGCACAAATTTTTAAAAAAGTATATATTACATGAGTGTCATATGTCAATAATCTGGGGTTTGTTTGAGAAATTCACTGTTTTAACTCCTGCCAGGTGCAAAATTGTATTAATGGGAACATGATCCAGCCTGTTTCTATCGAGGTGCAAAAAATGAACTTCATTGCCTGGAATGAGAATAACATGTAAATTACTGAATAACATATTTATTTATTCAAAGATGTAAGTGAATCGAAGCAGCATTCTGACTACCTACCAGTTAATGTACAAATCTGTACTAGTTCTGTAGACTGCACAATATACTGTATTTTAAACAATGACAAACGATTTTTTAATTATGTTAAAGAAGCAAGGAACATTGAGACAACCAGTTTAAATCTGCTGTAGCATGATATTTCCTAATAATGTGATGACTATCATGTTGCAATTCCCCTTTCATGCTTTCTACCCCTCTGCTAAAACCACATTAAATGACTCAAATTAAATGCGAAAGCAGAATGTAGGTAAATACCATAATGTCAAGAAAAGCCTCCAAACTTTGAGGCAGTTGTTCCATCACCACTCCAAGCAATTTCTGCAGGGCTGTGATCAGCTTTATGCCACCTCTGTGGGAGATGGGACTACACAATGACACTCTGCAGATTTCTTCACTTGACAGAAATCATCACACAGTTCAACACAAGACTGTCTCCTGGGGACTCACAGGGACAGCAGGCGAAATGGCAACAAACAGCTGAAGGAGACAGTTGTAACTTTCACACAAAACAAAGCAGCTCACCTGGGCCTATAATCAGAGCTCCTCCCTGCTGAGCAGGGTCTCCTTGAAAATCAAAAGCTGGGCCAGTCATTGCTCTCCATACACTCCTAATGCTTCCCAGAAGTATGTTTGATTTGACATGAGGGCTCCGAACTAAACAAAACCACAAAACACTTGTTATCTAGAAATATGAAAATGTGTAAGAACAACAATGAACAGCTGCTATGAATAGTTTAGAGATTCCTGATTACCAGTGTTTTCACAAAATGTAGCCTACAAGAGACAGTCTGGTGGGTAACTCACTTTCTCTTTACATTGTGATGATATGATTTTAACCAGAGCATATTTGTTTTGTTTGTGAAAGTCTAAATAAGGTGAGAAAATGATTCTTACCTGTTACTTTATTGCCTTCACCTCTTTTCATGCCAAGTATTTTATAAATTTCCCTTTGTGGATCTACATACATTTCATGTGTATACCCAGTTAAACTGCAAAAGGGCTTCAAAATACAGCAGAGACAGAAAAAGAAAGTAATATTTGTAAGGTTAAGGCAGTAGCTAGTTAGGGTCTACTGACAACAGTAAAATACTGACACCCTGCCAGTTCCACACTCCCCCTCTTATTTGAAAACTGTGTATTTGTTAGTTACCTTAAAGTGGAAATTTTTTTAGTCTCAAAGCTTCTATTAAAACAAAGTTTTCAGTAAAATCAAGAAAAAATGTTTCCTTAGCAACCCCTGGTGTTTTTAAGCTGCAAGTTTTAATTATTTGCTTTAGTCATGTATTACAATTAGAATTGCCTCATGAATACTATCCTTTTTCACTGCTGTTGCAGAGAATCACCTTTTCATGCAAACCAAATCCTCAATGCAGACCATTAAAACATAATAGAAGATACATTGTATTTAATGACTAATTTATTTACCTTGATGTGATGATATGATGACTGTCCAATAACTATAAGCCTCACATTCGATTCCTAGGACAGAACATGGGTATTGAAGCTGTAAAGAGGAACTGGGTGTTCCTATATGACTTCAAAGCATTAACAGAATCTGGTGTGCCAAGTTAGTGATTGCAGTGCACTGACTTAAAATTATTTGAAGTTAACATAACTTACATGTTTGGAGACTGCACTTTTGTCTATCACCTGCAGTTAGCTGCTACATTAATTTATTAAGTAAAAAATTATTTTTAAAGATAACTTTTAAATTACAGTTGTGTAAACTTTGAGTTTTCTGTAGCAT